GGCTGAGAAACTTTATTTAGGGAAACATGTTTTAAGTCCACATAATAAATTTTGCAAATTAAAAGACAGCTAATATGCTTGTTGTGCAAAATTGGAAAATTCAAAGAAAATAAAGTATCTGAACTCCCTGCCCATTATCATTGTATTGCTGTATTTCCTTTCTTTTCAGGTATTTTTACATATGCTAACATGAACAGATACACAGACGTATATGTACCCAAAAAACATGGGCGATACACAGTATCATCTCTTTTTTTGGGGGAGATGCCTAGACTGGAGTGCAGTGGGTGTGATCTTGGCTCACCGCAACCTCCTCCACCTCCCGAGTTCAAGCGATTCTCCTGCCTCACCCTCCCGAGTGGCTGAGATTATGGGTGCACACACCATGCCTAGCTAATTTTTGTATTTTTAGTAGAGATGGAGTTTCACCATGTTAGCGAGGCTGGTCTCAAACTCCTGACCTCAGGTGATCCACCCACCTCGGCCTCCCAAAGTGCTGTGATTACAGGCATGAGCTACCGTGCCTGGCCCAGTATCATCTCATTTTTTGCCATGAGGACACTTCCCCACCCCGTTCCCCCCTCCCCACCCCGCCACATGTCTGAGGCAAGAAAACAAGCACTTTGTTGTTGTTGTTGTTGTTGTTGTTGAGATGGTCTCATTCTGTCGCCCAGGCTGGAGTGCAGTGGTGTGATCTTGGCTCACTGCAACCTCCGCCCTCCGAATTCAAGCGATTCTCCTACCTCAGCCTCCCGAGTAGCTGGTATTACAGGAACCTGCCACCGCGTGCTGCTAATTTTTTGTATTTTTAGTAGAGGCAGGGTTTCACTATCTTGGCCAGGCTGGTCTTGAACTCCTGACGTCATGATCCACCCACCTCAGCCTAACAAACACTCATTTGTTTTTTTGTTCTTTTTTAAGAGGGTCTCACTCTGTCATCCAGACTGGAGTTCAGTGGCATGATCATGGGTCACTGAAGCTTCAACCTCCTCGACTTAGCTCAACCTCTCACCTCAGTTCCCAGAGTAGCTGGGACTATGGGCGTGCTCCTTTTAAACATTTTTTATAGAGATAGGGTCTCACTGTGTTGCCCAGGCTGGCCTAGAACTCCTGACCTCAAGCAATCCTCCTACCCCTGTCTCCCAAAGTGGTGAAATTGCGGACATGAGTCACTGCTCCTGGCCAATGGGGACAACTTTTTAAAAAATAACATTCATCTGCTCTCATTTTTCTAATAAAACATTGCCATTTATTATGTGGCTTTATTAGTGTTATCTTTGTTCTAAAAGTGTAGTATAGTGTCTCTAAAGAAGGTTAAGAGTTTGTGTCAGATCAACTGCATCAATAACCTATTTTGCATTTTATTTTAAGATGAAAACTTCCAAATGTATTCAAAAAGGGGATATGATATGTTGGAACAGCTGTACATTGTCTATCTAGATTCAACAACTTAACATTTTGCCATAGTTGCTTTGTTTTTCTTTCTGTATCTATTGTTTTTTTTCTTTTTTTGACTGAACCCTTTGAGAGCAAATTGCAGACATCATATTTTACCTGTAAACATTTAAGCATGCAGCTCTTAAGAATGAAGACGTGTTTCAACCAGGCGCAGTAGCTCACACCTGTAATCCCACCACTTTGGGAGGCCAAGGCAGGCGAATCACCTGAGGTCGGGAGTTCAAGACCAGCCTGACCAATATGGAGAAACCCCATCTCTACTAAAAATACAAAATTAGCTGGGCGTGGTGGCACATGCTTGTAATCCCAGCTACTCGGGAGGCTGAGGCAGGAGAATCACTTAAATCTGCAAGGTGGAGGTTGCGGTGAGCCAAGATCACGCCATTGCCCTCCAGCCTGGGCAACAAGAGTGAAACTCCATCTCACAAAAAAAGAATGAAGACTTTTTTCTATATAACCATAATACCATTATTATACCTAAGAAAATTAATTTTTAAAAAATTTATTTGTAATTTTTGTGGGTACATTGTAGGTGTATAAAATAATAAATTTTATAATATCGAATATCAAGTTTAAATTTCCCTAGTTGTCCCCAGAATGACTATTGTAATTGTTATTTTGAATCCCAGTCTAATCAAGTTTATCAGTCAAGCACATTAAACAAGTCTTTAATCATCAAGCCCCTCAGCTGTTTTTTTCCCCTTGACACTGACTTTGAAGAGCCTGAGCCAGTTTTTTATAGTACATTCTGCATTCTGAATTCATATGATTGTTTTCTCATGTTGTGCTATAACTTGATCCTCTATTCACTTTTTCCCTGTAAACTGGGAATTAGCATTATTAGATTCATTCTAAACATTTTTTGGCACGAATACAGGACATGACTGTATAATGCATCATATCAAGAGGCACATAATGTAAGGGTATCTTGATTTTAGTCTGTCAGCTTAACTGTGATCAGCTTGGATGATTAGAGCTTGTTCTGTACAGTATTAAATTAATTACTATTGTAGAAACCTGTAGATTTTCCAACATTTACTAAAATATGAAAGGATTGAGTAGTTTATTATTCATACTTAAAATACTTAATTTATTTTTATCTAGAGATGTTTTTATCAAAATAAGGGCAAAAAGTAAATACAATTTTTATCCGTGAAAACTCTAAAGTCTTTCAAAGATCTGTTTAAATCTATATAGTTTTATGTTTTGTATTTCCTACTTATCATTTAGCAGAAATGATGAAGGAATTGTTCTGATGGCTTGCTTTTCTGTCCTTTTCCTACTGCTTTAAACATTAATTTTCTTTTGTACTAAATCGTATAGCCAATTATTGTTTTTTTTTTTTAAGGAAGTCAGTTTTAGGAAATGCTTGTGTTGCTGTTGAATTATAAAAGCTGAGTAAATTTCAGATTAAATTTTAAATGACTGTGAAATAAGACATAAACTAGTTAATGGTAATTTGCTTAAAATGACTTGAGATATTATAATTGGAAGTTTTTATTGATACAGGTAAGAATCGATATTTAATAAAATGTTCTCATGCTTAGACTATATTACTTTTCAGTAGAGAAATTAGTATTTTGCTGTAATGTGTTATGAAATACATGTGATATCCTAGTTTGTCTACTGACACTGGGGTCTTGAATCTTAAAAAAAGGCCTCCGAGGAAGCAGAGGAAAGTGGATCACAGGGAAAATTGGTGGAAGCTCTCAGGCAAATGAGAATTAATCATAGGGGAAACTACCGACAACTTCTGGAGGAGATGCTGACTAGTTACAGGCTAGCTAAAGTAGAGGGAGAAGAAAGCCCTGCTGAACCAGCTGCCACAGCTACTTCTTCGAACAGTGATGCTGGAAACCCAGTGACAATGCAGGAAAGCCATACTGAATCAGAAAGTGGTCTTGCTGAATTAGACAGCTCTAATGAAGATGCAGGGACAAAGATGAGTGGTGAAAAAATATGACTTTTCTTTTTGGTAATATTTTTGTGATCTTTGATGGTTTTTAACTTAGGAAGTGTAATGTATGCATTTATATAACCGTTTTGTTATTTGAATCTTGGAAAACTAGTTTTATTATATTCAGATAGCCTTGTTTTTTAAAAAGGCCTTTGCATACACCTTTATGAGATAGTGTAAAATTGACTATTTATATTAATGAAATTATATGTCATTTCACATTGTATGCCAGAAATTAGGATACCAATTATGAATTACAGTCAGTAGTTAATACTAGATAGGATTAGAAATTTTGATTAGAGAGATTACACTATATTATGGAAAAACTTGTTAATGTAGAATTATACTGCTTCATATTATTTTACCTATTAGTACACTCATAGTTAGCTTTGTAATAAATTTATGTTTTCTTTAATAATTTTAGTTCTTCAAAAAATGGCTGATGCTGGCCTGTAATTTTTCTTTCAAGGATAATAATTTGTGTGTTGTTTGATTTGTTTATATTTTACATCTCTGTAGTTTTATTTTTAGAAGTTGTGAGATACTGGATGTGTGGCTATTTTTCCTTTCTCTGTATTCTTTATGAAACATAACTTTTGAAAAACCTATGTATTATTCATACAGCTTTGGTTTGTATATTCTGTATAGCCTAACTACACACATCAAAATGTATGTCAACCAAGTGTTTAGAATGAAATTATAAGTGTTTAAGTCCAAATAAAGCATGTGATGTGGAATAATCTATGCATGTTGTACTTATTTTTGAATTAATTTTTTAAAAACAACCAAGTTTGGTATATTGGAAGAATACCCATTAGAAATTCATTTGTATTTATATAACATTTAGAACACTTTTGGCTTACCTTTTTTCATTAATAAAAAGGAAAGAAGTTTAATGTTAAAATATATGTGTTACATACTTAAATCTATTATTTTTCTTATCCATCTTTTGTGGTACAAAATATTAATCTTTGGAGATTATGGGCACACATAGACATGTGAGAAAATTGCCACAGTCAGCATTTTAAAGATTGCAGAATTGTCCATTTTGTTACAAATTTTTATTAGTTATTAATAAATGGAATAATTATGGGCTGTTTTTAAAATAGTGGCAGGTGAGAGTTTTTGTTTAAAGGGATTTTTAAATTATAGATTATTCACATGGGGGAAATATTTTAAAAAATTTTTTATGACTGTAGAACATTAACTTTTCTTCTTTACGTTTATATTTATATCATGTGTCTGAAGTTGCTTTAAGTTACCATAAATTGAAACTTTGGAATCTTTGGATGTTATAGCTGATGTTTTGATGTATTTTTCCAATGCCAGAATATTCTTAAGTGCTTTGAGAAAGGAAGGCATTTGATGGAGAGGGGAGGAAAATAACCCAACCCAGTTATCTATCTATATTAGATACACATGTACACACACAATATACAATACACAACATCTCTCTGTAAAAGTACCCTTTTCAGACAAAGAAAGGAAGGTAACTTGTTCATCAATTTTGTTTTCTTTTGAAATTCAATCCAGTCTGGAAGTGGTATAGGTAAATAATAATATTCTTCCTTTTCTCTTCCTGTAGGGTGCTGGAGATCTAGAAGACCCATGGTAGCCTTAAAAACCTTCTAAAATGCTTTTGATTCTGAAAATTGGGGGAAAAAACTTTTAATCACAATTTTCTTCAATACAAGGGGAAAATATTCTTGTGGATTCCCAACGTTTTGTGATATGAGCAGAAAATCATTAGCATTTCCCATCATTTGTTCATATTTGTGTTTTCTGACAGTTGCCACTTGTAGCATTGCCTGTACTACAGTATTTTTTGCCAACCTCAGGCATACTCATTACATCTGTATTGAACTTTTGGCCCTAGAAACCAGTGGAGTTATTTCACCACAAATCAACAATGTGCCTGAGGTGCATGGGAAATATAGTTAGCTATACTCTGAAAATACATTATGTTTTTTTCTTTAAACAAAACACACAACATGTAAGCATGTAAGAGTAAAGAATTGTATGATATGTTCCTTTTTTCAGTTCACCAAGTTGGAAGCCTTTTGCAGCTCTGTGGCTTGGAATTTCATTTGAGCAATTTCTATAGGATATGTATTTATTATTGATTGTTATTTAATTTTTTTCCAATCTTACCTGTATTACCAAACTGGGTTCTCCAATAATGTCCAAATTGTAATGTTGCCTTGCTTCAAGATAAAGTGTATTTGGGAATAATATTATAAACCCTTACAAATTTTATGCATGTATCTACTGCATCCTTCAACTCTCCCTAGAAAATCTTTTGAAACCAAATGGATTAATTTATGGCTATTTATAATTTGCTTTGACATTTCACTGTTGGAAATTTTTTAAAGATGAGATTTGTCTTTATAATGTAAATTGTGATTTTTGTTTTACATGTGGGTTTCTATAGTTTTAATTTTTTCAGCTTTTAAGATACGAGTTTTGTGTAATTTGGTATTTTTAATCATTTATGTTATTTTAAAAGCTCAGAATATCACATTGAAATTACTATAAATACATTTAAAATTATCTATTTTAGATCTAAGGAAATATTACAGAGATATTTTCATGGGTTCAGTAACCTTTCATTTTATAACATTGGGCACGGTACAGAGTGGCTGTCACATAAGGTACTTGAAGATTTATTAGTTTAATTCTATTTTTACAGTAACCTTGAATTCTTCTGAGTTTTGCATGTATTAAATTCAATTAATGCTGAATATGAAGAGTAAAGTATTTATCTGAAAGAAGTTACTGGGTTAGGAGAAGTAATGAATGTATCCATTTGTACATGGTTTACATGTTGTGGATGCTTTGTAAACATTTTCCTATATGTTTAAATTGTGTTTCAGCAGGATGTAATTGCCCTTGTGTATAGTTAAAATGAGTCATCATCTGGTCCTGTGTGAAATGGAATTCATGGTATTTTCTGTAACATTTTCCTGAAGCTGTTTCTGGAGAGCCACACGTTTAAATACAGACAGCTTTCCTGATCATTTGATTTATTGTGCACCTGATTTTTGGTTTAAAAGGAATTATTGCCACAATATATTTTATTTATTCTTTAGATTTTAGCCTTGTAAGTTAAAGTGCTTTACATGATGATGTGAAAAGCTGTTTGTCCCTTTACTGGGTTTGGGGGGTTGTTAAAAGATAGGGAATGAAGAATGCAAAATGGTTTATTGTTCAAACTGTCCACTCTGATCCAACCCTGTACTGATAGTACTTTCCAGTATGATATTGTGATGTTTCATACAATGCAGTGAACATAACCAACTTGTTACCTAAATAAAGAATTGATAAAAACAGTGTGACATATTACTATTTGGTATGATTCAGTTTTTAATGTTATTTTAAACTTCTTATGTGGTTGGCATACTTGTGAAAATTTAATTCCAAATAGGAATTATCCAAACTCTACAGGACAATATTAACCCCTTCTCTACTCCAGAAATATTTATACTCCTTTTTGAAATACTTGCCTTTGGCCGGGTGCGTTGGCTCTCGCCTGTAATCGTAGCACTTTGGGAGGCCAAGGCGGGTGGATCACAAGGTCAAGAGATCGAGACCGTCCTGGCCAACATGGTGAAACCCCATGTCCACTAAAAATACAAAAATTAGCTGGGCGTGGTGGTGTGTGCCTGTAATCCCAGCTACTCGGGAGGCTGAGGCGGGAGAATTGCTTGAACCCAGGAGGCAGAGGTTGCAGTGAGCCACGATCGCGCCACTGCACTCCAGCCTGGGGACAGGGCGAGACTCCGTCTCAAAAAAAAAAAAAAAAAAAACAAACCTTTTTCATTGGGGGTTACTGGTGCTTGAAATAGAAATAATGTATGAGTTAGTAAAAGAAAAACCGATGTTCAGTGTTTACTCATCTGAATTTCCTAGCCTGGGTATTCTCAAGTATTTTGGTCTCAGGACCCATTTATACTCTTACAAATTGTATATTCCAATGAACTTTTGCTTTTGTGGGTACTATTGATATTTACTATATTAGAAATTAAAACTGAGAAATTATACACACTGTTTTAATTTGTTAAATAAAATGATTACATGTTAACATAAACTATTTTATGAAAAATAATTGTCTTATAAGTTAAGATACAAAAATGCAGTGTAAAAAGAAGGACCAGTTTTCATTTTTGTGAGCCTTTAATATTGGGCTGAATTCTTGTTTGTGCTTCTGCGTTCAGTCTGCTACAGTGTGGTGCGGCCCGATGGTTGAAGTATATGAAGAAACCTGGCCTCACACAGATAGGTAGTTGGAAAACAGGAGTATTTTAGTAACTTCAGATAATTGTAGATATCAAAACTTGACAACCGATAGTTTCTTGAAGGTTGGTTGCAATGTGAAATCGGAAAGTTTATTAGAGGACTTTTCTTAGTTTGTTATGTTAAAATCCACTGGGTCTGTCTTGCATTTTTAATGGACCTTCTGGCTATGCATGATTTTGTCACATCATGAATTGGTCATTTGGAAAATACTGGTTCACTGAATTATGCAGTTCTTCTAAATACGAATCCATTATTCTGCAGTGATTAAAGTTTTTTGTTAAGGGTGGGCATGGTGGCTCATGTCTGTAATCCCAGCAGTTTGGGAGGCTGAGGCAGGCAGATACCTGAGCTCAGGAGTTTGAGACCAGCCTGACCAACATGGAGAAACCCTGTCTCTACTAAAAATACAAAATGAGCCAGGCGTGGTGGTGCATGCCTATAATCCCAGCTACTCGGGAGGCTGAGGCAGAAGAATTGCTTGAACCCAGGTGACAGAGGTTGCAGTGAGATGAGATCGTGCCATTGCACTCCAGCCTGGGCAACAAGAGCGAAACTCCGTCTCAGAAAAGAAAAGACCACTTAGCTGAATGTTGTGGTAGCTTGTGCCTGTAATCCCAGAGGCTAAAGCAGGAGGAATGCTTGAGGCCAGGAGTTTAAGACTCACCTGGGCAATACAGCAAGACCTGGTTTCTACACACACACAAATTTTAAGTACTCTAGCATGGTGTCACATGCCTATAGTCCCAGCTACTTGGGAAACTGAGGCAGGAGGATTGCTTGAATTCAGGAGTTCAAGGCTGCAGTGAGCTGTGATCCAGCCACTGCACAGCAGCCTGGGCAACAGCAAGACTCCATCTCGAATTTTAAATATATGTCCCTTTTATATTGAAAAAATTATCTTAAATTTTAAAATAACATTGTGAAGGAATAAACAATCTAAGCAACAAATGCTTCCAAGCTGCTTCACCGTTAGTTTATTAACCTGAATAGAATTTACCACCAAGAGTCATATTTCTTAATGCTAAAGTAGAAATCCATTGGGAGTTGCATTGTCACTGAAAAAAATTATAATGAAGGCCAGGCGCAGTGGCTCACACCTGTAATCCCAGCACTTTGGCAGGCCAAGGCGGGCAGATCACTTGAGGTCAACGGTTCAAAATCAGCCTGGCTAAAATGGTGAAACCTGTCTCTACTTAAAAAAAAAAAAAAAATACAAAAAGTAGCTTGGTGTGGTGCTGCGTACCTGTAGTCCCAGCTAGTCGGGAGCTGGAGGCAGGAGAATCGCTTGAACCTGGGAAGTGGAGGTTGCAGTGAGCCAAGATCGTGCCACTGCACTCCAGCCTGGGCGACAGAGGGAGAACCCGTCTCAAAAAAAGTTATAATGAACTGGTCTCCCTATATGAAAATAATGGCACTGCCTTGCCAGTTGTCATTCTTTCTATCTAGGCTTTAAAATGGTTTTTAATAACAGGAGAAATAGTGTTAGTTGGGGAAAAAAATGTTTCTGTAATCATATTAGCCTTACATTTGAGTCAGGAATTACAGCCTCATTAGTTTACTTTTCAAACTGCCTGATATATTTTCCGAAACCTTGGAAAATGCACAAACCAGAGCAATATATGGTGCCCGAGTCTTTATCCAACTTCAATACTTGAAATTAACCTGAACATGTCCATCAAATATCTTTTGCTGGCCAAATATTATTCTTCCTTGTCTTGAATTTAAGGTTATATTTTTTAAATGACATCTCACACTGACATTTCCTCTTCCAAATTGTCTTCATTTGTGTTTTGAAGTTCATCTGGTATAAGTATTAAGGGAAAACGTGGTAAGATTTCTTGTGGAACACGTTTTGAGAAGCTAAACAGTATTTAGTGAAAAATAGCAAATTGTGATGTTTTTCACATATTAGAAAATTCCTAGTTGTGCAAAAAATCCATTGTATATGTAAAATAGTCAAATGCTGACATAATTGTTAAGATGAATTCAAGGGATGATTTAATTTCAAAGCAATTCTGAAGTTACTTTTTAAATTCTGTATTAGAAAATGCACTTAAATGAAGTTACTTGCTTTTAGTTCATAATGGGCATTATAACAATTTGCACTCTTGTTTTTATGCTAAATTGCTTTTAAGTTTTTTTCTATTCAACTTTGGGAGTTATTTTGTGAACCCTAAAGAAAATGCTAAACAAGTGTTTGTGTTTGCCCATTGTTTTGATGATTTGTGTATGTTACATTATGGTCTAGAAGTAATAAATGTAGCTACTAATAGAGAATACATTGCTTTTCAGGCAGCATCACCGCCATTTCTCACTTCCTGCTGGCTTTTCTGGCTGTGGTATTTTCTCCCCCTTATTTTCTGTTTCCGTTTTATTTTGCCTGCAAACACCTCTAACTAGCATACTGTTTTGTGCTCAGATATAACTGGTAGATATGCTCTTCTAATTCGGAGGTGAGGGGCACTTAGTGTTAGGAAGTTAGTATTTCTGTTATCTCATAAGTATCCACAACTCCAGTGGGACACGAAAGAGCCAGACCTTTTATGTAAGGGTAGAATGAAAGATTGGACTTTACTTCTTTTTCTTAATTAATAAGCCTAGTCTATAATATTGGCAACAGTGTGTTTTTAATGAATAAATCTGTACAACAAATGTATTCTTTCCATGTAACATTCACCTATCATGAAAACAGTTTTGCATTTGAGATGAAGAGGACCAGTACCACCCAGGAGTTATTCTAATAGTGGGTCTGATACCTTCTTTCCCTCTCCTGAGTCGTTTACACTTACTTTTTTGGGCAGTGATTATGAAGAGGTGGTTTTGCTTCATTCCTAAGTCTTGAAGTTATGAAATGCAATTTATTATTTATTATTTGAGATGGAGTTTCACGTTTGTTGCCCAGGCTGGAGTGCAATGGCAAGATCTCGGCTCACTGCAACCTCCACCTCCTGGGTTCAAGCAATTCTTCTGCCTCAGCCTCATGAGTAGTTGGGATTACAGGTGTCTGCCACCATGCCCAGCTAATTTTTTTGTATTTTTAGTAGAGATGGGATTTCACCCTGTTGGCCAGCCTGGTCTCGAACTCCTGACCTCAGGTGATCTGCCCGCCTTGGCCTCCCAAAGTGCTGGGATTACAGGCGTGAGCCACCGCGCCCAGCCCGAAATGCAATTTATCTTAACAAAATTCCACAGTAACATGATATAGAGCACCATGGGGTTTATTTTCATGAGATTTTGCCTATGAATAATCATAATAAATCGATACAGTATAAAGCTTATTTAAAATATTTAATATTTGCTATTAAAATTGTACTTAAGGCTGCTTATAATTGATATGGCACTTTGGTTCTACTGAAGTATACTCTTTTTTTTTTTTTGAGACGGAGTCTGGCTCTGTCGCCCAGGCTGGAGTGCAGTGGCCGGATCTCAGCTCACTGCAAGCTCCACCTCCCGGGTTCACGCCATTCTCCTACCTCAGCCTCCCGAGTAGCTGGGACCATGGGCGCCCGCCACCTCGCCCAGCTACTTTTTCTGTATTTTTTAGTAGAGACGGGGTTTCACCGTGTTAGCTAGGATGGTCTAGATCTCCTGACCTCGTGATCTGCCCGTCTCGGCCTCCCAAAGTGCTGGGATTACAGGCTTGAGCCACCGCGCCCGGCTGAAGTATACTCTTGAAAGTTTCTGGGTTCAGGCCGGGCGCGGTGGCTCAAGCCTGTAATCCCAGCACTTTGGGAGGCCGAGACGGGCGGATCACGAGGTCAGGAGATCGAGACCATCCTGGCTAACATGGTGAAACCCCGTCTCTACTAAAAATACAAAAAACTAGCCGGGCGAGGTGGCGGGTATCCGTAGTCCCAGCTACTCGGAGGCTGAGGCAGGAGAATGGTGTGAACCCGGGAGGCGGAGCTTGCAGTGAGCCGAGATCACGCCACTGCACTCCAGCCTGGGCGACAGAGCGAGACTCCGTCTCAAAAAAAAAAAAAGAAAGAAAGAAAGTTACTGGGTTCTGCCGGGCACAGTGCCTCACGCCTTTAATCCCAGCACTT